CGGATCATTGATAATCACTGTGTATCTGAGATCTCTGTCTGAACTCCACCACTGGGTTTATTTACGGGGAAACGACGGTTCCCATGCTGTTCGTTAAAAAGGAAAAGGAAAAAATATTTACAATAGAGGGTAAATCAATAAACTGCAGCGAATACAACAAAATCAAAACACAAATATTTTCCCAGCACTCCCACATTTTTTGGCTGATGTTCATAATGTTTTTTCCCGCAGTCTTGAAAGCTTCTAAGAGTAAAAGAAAGGCATTGATTTGGTTTCTTATTACTTATTAAAGCTGATTTTTAACACATGTCAGTGTTTCATAATGTTTGCACAAGACCGTAATTCTATTATGTGCACTGATATCAGGTATCTTAAATATTCTGTGGCCTAATAAATTCTTTAAATGTGCTTTTCTTTTACACTGGTATGGTGTCCAAAATGACATCTGATTCTTAAAGACTCAGCATGTGTTTTTTGGAGTTGCTTATTTCGGATATTACACTTTAGTCCTTTTATTATTATTATTTTTGCATTAGGTGTCAATTCATTTATTCAATATTTATTAAAGCAAAAATAATGTATTATAGCAGGACAGGCTTTTGTGAATGTGTGATCCCCTTGAGAACATTCAAGCTTTCTTACTCTGAGACACGTTTTAGAGATTTGAAAATTTGACTTGCATTTAGATTTAATTATGAGTGACATTTAGCATTTTCTCCCTGCGTTCGTGTGGGTTTCCTCCGGGTGCACCAGTTTCCCCCACGGTCGAAAGACAAGCAGTACAGGTGAATTGGGTAGGCTAAATTGTCTGTAGTATATGAGTGTGTGTATGTGTGGATGTTTCCCAGAGGTGGGTTGCGGCTGGAAGGGCATCCATTGGGTAAAAACGTGCTGGATAAGTTGGCGGTTTGTTCCGCTGTGGCGACCCTGGATTAATAAAAGGACTAAGTGGACATGAAAATGAATGGATTTAGCATTTTATGTTTTCATATCAAGCTATTTTAGCTTTTCTTTAGGACATTAAAAAAAAAAAAAGTACCATAGTAGGTACTATAATGTGGACCTTGGAGATCATTATAAACTAGCACCTATATTTATAGATGTAAAATATTGTTAAATAAATGTTATAGAGTGTATAATAATGATTATATACACAAGTATTAACATTTGTCGATAACCCATTTGACAACCAATATTACAAACATTTCGGCTTGATTTTAAATATGTAATGAGTCGGGGTACAACAGAGATGGGGATCCAAGTGCATATATCAAAAACATCAAAACAGGGACAGACAGGAGCATGCAAATAATACAAAAGAGTGGTCAGAATACAGGAGAATTGTTAAGACAGGCGGCAAAACAACAGAAACAGTAAAACAAAGCAAAGGTAAAAACCACAGTAAGACAAGTAAAATGCTTTAGTAAGGCTCACTTACAGATCACAAGACTCAGCAAAGTGTGCGTATGTGTGAATGAGGTGTCTATAGTTCTTGTAATCAGTCTGTGATGAGCTTCCAGCTGTGTGCGCACAATCAGGTAGATAACTGGAATTGGTGCGTGTGTGTGTGGTGCATGGGATTTGTAGTTCTTATCAGTTGCAGATTGTAGTTCTCCTTGTGATCCATACCAGTCAACATTGGGATGTGAAAATAAGAGATATGCCCACCACAATAAAGGACTACCCAACTTTCACTCCTGAAAGTCCAAACACTGAAGAGCAAATCCATGTGCAGCACCACAATTCCTAAACCATGCAAGCCAGTCGCGAGGAACAAACCTCACAAATTGACGAAAGTGAGGAAAAAAAAAAAAAAAAAAACTTTGAGAGAAACCAGGCTCAGTTGGGCATGACTATTTCTCCTCTGGCTAAACTTCTTGTGCAGAGCTGCAGCCTAGGCGCCGGTGGCTAGAGACCGCTGGACATCCATCGTGCCCCAGTAAATGGGTCTAGTGACGCCCCTGCCTTCACTAGATTCACTTTTGTGTCCTTAAGGTACTATGAGGTCCACATTTGTACTTTTTTGGTATTAATATGTACCTTTAAGGACCTGTTAGGAACAAAAATGTACCGCCCCAGTGACAGATTCTGTCCCTTTATTTCTGAGAGTGTGTGGTAAGTTTTTATTTTATCTAAAATTTCAATCATAAAGGAAAATGATCTGTGAAGTCTACTGGTAATTCCTGAGTGAACATAGCTTGTGCGCCATTTTTGTACATGTATCCACATACAGTCAAGTCTGATTCTGCTGACTGTCACTTTTTGTTCAAAGGTAAATATAAACTAGAAATACTTTTACTTGTACGCCATCTTATTATGTTTAGGGAAAAGCCTGTGTCGTTCCAGCCACTTGCTGGTTGAAGTAACAACGTCAGAATTTGCCAGGAGTATGAATAATTTTGGGCCTGACTGTTGAAAAGTAAGCGGCGGAGTGAAGACTGTCTTTTTCCTGACCTCCACCTTCGCATCCGCACTCCCATAGCAATGACAAACGATGCAGGAGATAAGAATTTATTAAAGCCAAATAAAATTGTCATTATTAAGGGTGACTGATAGGAGAGGGCAGAAACCAGGGGTAATCATTTGGATCGCTCAAGTCGGTCTGCTTTGACTAATGGACTGGTGACGTCTGCCGGAGCTTTTAGTGGGATGAAACGCCATTGATTAAATGCGTGTGTGAGATCGAGGATGAGACCGAGGTGAAGGAGCTGCAGATATAAAAGCAAATGCAGATTGAGATTCTGTGTTACAGCAGCAGCCTCTGATGAGATAAGCTGCTTTTTACACACACACACAAACACTTACAGTCTAAGCAAATATTATTCAGACACCTTTTCGCATTATCACAGTTTATTTACCACACTGTAAAAGATATGTTAATAACAGTTCAGATTTTGTGATTCACAAGAGTTTATTTATGGTTGTAAAGTGCATTATGGGATCCCTCCTCTGTTGACTTTTGTATATATATATATATATATATATATATATATATATATATATATATATATATATATATATATATATATATATATATATATATGTAGAGAGCATCTAGCTCTCTGCAACTATCATATGGTTGCCCATTGAAGCTAAGCAGTGCCCAGTCAGTACCTGGATGGGAGACCACATGGGAAAGCTAGGTTGCTGCTGGAAGTGGTGTTAGTGATTAAGTTTGTGTGGGTTCTATTGCCCCTGTATATTGATGCTCAGTGAGTGCTGTCTTTCAGATGAGACGATAAACTCTCTGTGGTCGTTAAAAATTTTAGGATGTCCTTAGAAAGTAGAGGTTTATCCTGGTCTTTGTCCATCATGGCGTTCTAACCATCCCTATATCTAACTTAATAATTGGATCTGTCTCCTCTCCACCAATCAGCTAGTGTGTGGTCTGGTGCAATATGGCTGCCGTCGCGTCATCCAGGTGGATGCTGCACACTGGGGGTGGATGAGGAGATTCCCCCAATGTCTAAAGTGCTTTGAGTGTCTTGAAAAGCGCTATATAAATGTAAGTTATTATTATTGTTATTATTATAGAGAAAGAAGTCTGTAAAATAACAAAAAATGCACTGGCAGTTTATTACAAGGTATTTGTACCATAATATACAACACAAACTCAGATAATAGATCACTTTAAACTATTACAAATGTTCATGAAAGTCACTTTTATGAATTTATTAGGTAAAAAAAGTTGTTGGAAGAAAGAATAAGATCCCACAATTCAAAAAGCATTCAAAAGCATATAAAAACTGTGAAAAAAGTAAAAAATAAATAAAAACCTGAATCACAAAATATGGACTTGATTTATAGATGTTCATTCCAGTGTATGCTGTACAGAAAATGATGATAAAATTGTCGTTCACAGTTAAACTGACATAAGTTTAAATGCTAATGTCAGATCATTTTGATGTAATGGGTTACAATCAACCAAATAATTCAGGCGATTTTTATTTTAATAATATTTTCGCAACTCTCAATGCTTCTTTGAGCCACTCATAGTCTAAAAGACAGCCTATATTCTCCTTCTCAGCAGTTTTTATTACTGTTGCTTTTATTTTGTACAGTGTTTTATTTAGCTATTATCACTTGCATTGAGCCTTCGTTTTCTACACACACACTTGTCAAGAAATATTAAAGTTCAAATCTGGTGGATTGCTGTACTGTCATTGCATTTGTTTTTCCACCACAATGAGGACTTTTCTATTCCCTTGTCATTATACTGAGCTAAAGATGTTTTCTGCCATTTTACTTTTTTACAATGCCTTCTGCATTTTTTTTTTTTTTAGTTTTTCATTAAGACATTGTTTAGTTTGTTTATTAAGCTGTTTTCTTTATGGAGACCTTTAACTTATTCCCACGGTGTTGAGACACATTTTCAAAATACCTCATTCTGTGTGATTTATGAGCCGTTTTCCTCATGGGGACATAAACAAATGTCCCCACAAGGTCAAAATTATCTGCTATTGCTATACTTGTCGAGAAATTTAGTTTACAAAATGTAATGCAAGGTACACACACACACTTATACTGCTTTCTTTATGGGGATATTCCATAGACGTAATGATTTTTCTACTGTACAAACTGTATATTCTATCCCATTCCTCTAAACGTAACCTTCACAGGAAACAATCTGCATGTATAGATTTTCAAAAATACATGTTTGGTGTGTTTTATGAGCCGCTTTTCCTCATGGGAATCAAAAAAATGTCCACATGAGGTCAAAATTTACTGGTAAAGCTATACTTGTGTAGCTATACTTGTGGGGCCGTTTTGGATTCCATAATGTCTGGAATACAAGGCACACACACTGACACACTCACATCCTTTCTTCAATTCAATCAACCAATTAATTAACTTATTCATTCATAGCTTTAAAGTGATCTGTTACCGTCTCTCCTTTTCCATTAGAGTTCCATTCATCACAAAGGCGAACACACTCTTACATCATTTGTTCTGCGTTCCCAGAGTAACACCTATCACATCTCTGTCTTCCTGTCTTTCAGGTGGATAAAGTGTGTGGTCACTCTTCAAACACATCTACATCTACAGTCAGGACGTTTCCTCCGGCTTCAGTCAAGCCTCCACCTGTCAACATCTCACAGGACGCTCCAGGAGCTGATAAGATCGGCATGTTGGCACACCTTCACAGGTTAGACTGATTTATTGAAAACCCCAGTTTTGCAAAAGATTGATTTTTAGAAATGTTTTTGTAGATAGTTTTTAGGTAGCATGTACAGTAGTAAACTATCATCGGATTTTGTTTTATCGTAAAATGCACTACCAGTCCAAAGTTTTAGGATAGCGTGATTTTTTAATGTTTTTATAAAAAATATTAAAAATCAATTAAAAATAAATAAAAAAATAATATAGAGTGTATGTATATATATATATATATATATATATATATACAGTTGAAGTCAGAATTATTAGCCCCCTGTATTATTAGCGCCCCTGTTTATTTTTTTCCCCAATTTCTGTTTAATGGAGGGAAGATTGTTTCAGCACATTTCTAAGCATAATAGTTTTAAAAACTTATTTCTAATAACAGATTTATTTTATCTTTGTCATGATGACAGTAAATAACATTTTACTTGAAATTTTTCAAGACACTTCTATGCAGCTTAAAGTGACATTTAAAGGCTTAACTAGGGTAATAAGGTGCACTAGGCAGGTTAGGGTAATTAGTCAAATTATTGTATGATGATGGTTTGTTTTGTAGACTATCCAAAAAAGAATTAGCTTAAAGGGGCTAATAATTTTGTCCCAAAAATGTTTTAAAAAAAATTAATAACTACTTTTATTCTAGCCGAAATAAAACAAATAAGAATTTCTCCAGAAGAAAAAATATTATCAGACATACTGTAAAAATGTCATTGCTCTGTTAAACATCATTTGGGAAATATTTAAAAAAGAAAATAAAAATCAAAAGGGGGCTAATAATTCTGACTTCAACTGTATATATATATATATATATACAGTATATTTTTACAGTATGTCTGATAATATTTTTTCTTCTGGAGAAATTCTTATTTGTTTTATTTCGGCTAGAATAAAAGTAGTTATTAATTTTTAATAATATATATAAACATACATACATATATATATATATATATATATATATATATATATATATATATATATATATATATATATACATAGTAAAGAAAGATATATATACAAGAGTACAGAAATTTTCACAGTATGTCTCATAATATTTTTTTTTCTGGTGAAAGTCTTATTTGTTTTATTTTTACAAGAATAAAACAGTTTTTATTTTTTAAACACAATTTTAAGGTAAAATTATTAGCCCCTATAAGCAATATATTTTTTCGATAGTCTACTGAACAAACCATTGTTATACAGTAACTTAACTGATTACCCTAGCCTGCGTAGTTAACCTAATTAACCTAGTTAAGCCTTTAAATGTCACTTTAAGCTGTATAGAAGTGTCTTGAAAATATCAAGTAAAATATTATTAACTGTCATCATGGATGAAATAAAACAGTTATTTGAGAAGTTATAAAAACTATTATGTTTAGAAAAGTGTTGAGAAAAATCTTCTCTCTGTTAAACAGGGGAGCTAATACTTCTGACTTCAACTGTATATATATTGACAATGGACAACCTTCATTTTAAACAGTTGGATATGTATTTGGTAACACTGTAGATTAGTGGTCTATTGGTTAATGTTACTTAATGTCCGCTGCGTCTTAACAAGTCTTAAATTAACTGAAATGTTGTGTTGTAGGTCTTAAATAATTTTAAGCAGGTCCTAATCTTGCTTTTGTAAGTAAAGCTATTCAACTGGGCTGACATCCATACAATGTCCAACAATACATCTAAAAAAAAAAAAAAGCAAATAGTTACAACTAACAACAGCATTTTATTACAGCAAATTTCCCAAATTAATTTCCCTAACCAGGGGAAAAGACGTAAAAACAATTACACCATTCCTCATGTTAATACCATACCATTAAAAAAACTTAACTCTGTAAAAGTCTAAAATTTTCATTCTTAATGGTCTTAAAAAGGTCTTAAAAGTCTGCTATTTGACTTCATGAAATCTGCAGAACCCTGTAGTTAATGCATTTACTAACATTAACTAAGCATGAATACTATTACTAAGCATTTATTAATCATAGTTCAACATTAACTAATACATTAAAATAAAGTTGTGTTAGTTAATGCACCATGAGTTAACATGAACTAACGTTATTTAACTTTACATTAACAAAGTTGAATATATACTGTAATAAATGTATTACTAATTGCTTGTTCATGTTAGTAAATACATTAACTAATGCACCATTATTTTAAAGTGTTACCAAGCATTTTTATTCTCAGATTTATTTTGATTTGTTTGATGAACTCTATGCGATGATATGATGACAGACCACATATACCATTTTAGTTTCTGCATCAAATTAATTCTATAAAAGTAATTAAAATACAAAGAAAGCATTATTAAACGCAAGAAGAGTATATTTAAATGTTTATGAAAACTTAAAAATACGTGGATGAAATAATATAACACGTTTCTTCAGCTTGGCTAATATCTTTATGTAAAAATATATTCTGCCCTATGTGCAATCATGCAGTATTTTATTTTAAATAATTTAAATGTCTTGCTAATAAACCGTGTAGTTTTAAATATAGTCTCAAAATGCAAGTGTTTAATTGGTATTTTGATTCATTTAGCTTTTTCTTGTTGTTTAAATTTGTGATCCTTAAACAGAGACTGTTAAGATTTGTTTGTATCTAAACTTTTGTAAATCACAAATAAAATGCAAAATTATTCATTATTATTACAAATTATTGATGTTATTAAAAAATAAAAAATAAACAGGGCAAATTCCAATAATAAAAGCACTAATAATTGTGCATTTGTATTGAAAACTTTTGTTAGGTCCACAACTTGCGAATTGATTTAAAAAACAGGTCACAGACACACAAACAATCAAGCAGACCCATTCAGTGAACATCTGATAAAAAATATGCTACTAGACATATGAGTAACATCTGTACTCAGACCTGTAAGGATCTCTTGAAATTAGGATAACTTTTTTTTAGATGTTATTATCTGCATTTTATTCTTAAATACAGTATATCTACAGTATAAGTTATCGACCTTATTCTTTAGGTACGAGCAGATGCATCCATTTTAATCATTTTGGCTTGAGACTTCCGCTCTAATTCACTTCCATTGATTTATAGAAGTTAAAAACAGTTTGTTCTGCTGCTTGATGTTGCAAACAGATGTTTTCTTATTATATTATTTTACTTTTTATGTGTAGTCATAAACACATTTGTTTGTAGAGCAAGTAGTTTGATCATGTTCTGCCATTTATTATTCCTGGTCATTTCTCCCATAGGAAACTGAATCGAATCTTCTAAAACAATCGCAAAAATGATCTCACTTACACATCACTAAATAAGGTCAATAGTGTGCTCCAAAACAGAGACAAAATTCCCATTTAACAGATATAAACATTCAAAAATTGCAGGTTGTCACTTCCACCTAAATGGATCAACAATTAAAATGGATCAAACCTCATACTTCAGTTTCTCAAACCATTTTCAGTACAGATTATACAATCTTCCGACAACAAGTCAAATGCACTATAATATCCCACCCCCTTCAAGACACTTCTCATTTGCATTTCATTTGATGTGATTTATCTCAACCACACTGGCAGAACTGTGCTAAAAATGTAATGTTATTGGCTGTTTTTTTTTTTTAAAGGGAGGAACTTTTACATGTCCCGCGCCCTGTCTTTGTTTCAGTTTGAGATACGTCATGTTTCAGTTTGAGATTATAATAAGTACAAATATGTGATATACAAATAAGTTCTACTGTACCTTTAAAGTACATACTTACACAAACACACACACACACTTGTATCCGTGCACACACTGCAGATAGGCATCAGTAAGTGGAAGGCTGGCAAGGGCAGTGCTGTAACTGGCACTGAAACTGCAGGAATAGAAAGAGATAAATGGATTAGAGTTTTTTTTTTCCAGGTGCAGGAGTCAGTGGACAGCAAACACTCATCACTGTACCAATGACATCATCGCTCTGCACCAGGGAATTTGTGATGTTAAATATTTTTTAAAGACAGGTTTTTCTATCTCTTTTTTTTTTTTTAAAGAGTACTCCAGCATTACCAAAAGAGCTCATGTATTATACTTGAGTTTAGTTGAAAAACTGAGAAGGTAGAAACTAGGCTGTTTGTTACACCTCCATCAACATTCATAATGGAGCTTAACAGCGGGGTTCTGGAAGTAAAAAATGCCATTCAGAGTCTCTGTGGTGATATAGTCTATCAATAATAGTCGAGCTCTAAGGTCACTGAATGCATATTTAACCCCAAAATGAAAAATCTATGTCCATAATTTCACCCCTTGTACTTTTTTTCTGAAGTAATTTGAAATCTTTGTGGAACAAATAGATCGAAATTGACCTTGGTTACACTGTTAACATTTTTTGTAAATTACACGATTTGTAAAGATATACAAAACCGCTAATACACATACAGCAAGATAAATGGTGCTGTAAACGTAAATACAGTATCTTTGCTGTTATTGATTTATAGTAAGTTACTGGTGAACTGCTGCCAGTAAGTTACTGTAGACTCTACAGGAAATTGTGAACAGTGTTATGTTGACATACTGTAAGTTTAACAGCTACATTTCAGTTTTTTTTAACAGACATTTTCCAGACATTCCTGCTTTTTTTTATTTGCAACCAAGTACCCCAAATTATTAAAGTAAACCCTCAAGTAAATGCATGTTTTTTTTTTTTTTTTTTTTTAATCTTTGCAGCCTTTATACTAAAGTTCCTAAAACATGTTGGTTACACTTTATAATAACTACAAACTATGAATCATTTACTAATCATTAGCATCTAGTGAATTTGTTTTTTGTTAAGCATTAACTCTACATTAATGAATGTTAGTAAGCAGTTTATAACTGCAGCTTCAAGTGATGTATTATTGACTTAAAA